CAGCAGTTTGCAATCTCATCGTATCCCAATTATTAGTTTCTAACGAGACAATCAAGACACTCATCACGAACTGCTCAACGTTCACAAGGATTGAGCGGACTTGCCTATTGCATTAGATTTCTTCATAATTGCCACAAAGGACATGAAGACAGAGAATTATCTAAATTGACTCTACCTGAGTTAGAGTTATCAAGACGCGAGATACTTAAGCATTCACAACGTGCCTACTTCGCGGAAAAACTAAAATGCCTTCAAAACAAACGAGAAGTAAGCAGAACTAGTCCATTACTTCAGCTACACCCATTTCTAGACGAACATGGTATAATCAGGATGGGCGGATGACTTCAGGCGGCGCTTTGGAATTTCGAAAGGAAACATCCCATCTTACTGCCCGCACAATGCAAGATCACACATTTGCTGATCGAAAGAAAGCATCGCGCTCTACTACATGCTAATCCACAACTGTTGTTGGCATCAATACGCCAGCAATACTGACCGCTAAACGCAAGAAATTTGGTGCGTCAGGTTTGTCGTTCCTGTGTCTGGTGTGCTAGACATAACCCAAGAGGACTAACACAAGCGATGGGATCCCTTCCCAGCGAGTTTACAGCCATCTAGAGCATTCGCCGTCACGGGAGTCAATTTTGCTGGACCAATCACTACCCTTGTCAACAAAGAACGAGGTCGGAAAACATGCAAATCCTACATAGCATTATTTATATACTTCGCCACCAAAACCATTCATCTCGAGGCTACAAGTAGTACGAGCTATCTACGACGACCTTCCTAGCCACATTACGCCGCTTCATTGGTCGGCGAGGTTCGCCTCGAAAGATTTGCAGCGATAACGCCACCAATTTCATGGGTGCTAAACGCGAATTACAAGAATTGTACGCTTTTCTCCACACATCCATCAACGGAGAAGTTGGCGACGCGTTGCAGGAGAGAGGCATAGAATGGAGCTTTATTCCTCCATATTCACCGCATCTAGGAGATCTATGGGAAGCAGGAGTCAAATCCTACAAATATCATCTCCGCAGAGTTATGGGCAATATTTTGTTTACCTTTGAGGAATTGACAACGTCTCTCGTGCAGATTGAAGCGTGCCTGAATTCGAGGCCGTTGTCATCCCTATCCTCTGATCCTTCTGATCTGGAATCTTTAACGCCAGGACATTTCCTCATAGGAAAACCACTAACCAGTCTTCCGGACAACAATCTAACTGATATAAATATCAACCGCTTTGATAGATGGGAAATGGTTCAACGCTCGGTCCAAGAATTTTGGAAACGGGCGACCGAATATAGGTCCAATTTGCAAAGCCGCGTCAAGTGGAAAACTCGCCAGGAAAATCTCCAAATCAACGACTTTGTGTTCTTAAAGGAAGATAATCTTCCACCGTTAAAATGGAGAATTGGACACGTTACCGAAGTTCATCCTGGCAAAGACAATTTAGTACGCGTCGCGACGCGCACGACCACTGGTATCGTTAAACGTGCAATTGCTAAACTTTGCAAGTTACCAGTGAATGATTCTATAAAGGAAAATTAATTATTAATTATTAATTGATTAATCTTGGTGGGCGGTGTGTTACCATGTTGACTATGTACAGGGTTGGCCATATTCGACGGAAAGATCTGGCAACATTGTAACTTTTGACAGAGATGTTAGATCGAGTAACGACGTTTCCCATGAAAAAAAAACATCTTTCCATCGAATATGGCCAACCCTGTACATTATCAATCCATCGATCTAAGCGCTCCATGCCCGAGCTCGTTAGTAGATAAGTCCCGTCGTGGTAGGGCCCATTGCCGAGAGAGGAAGCTGCCTCGTGTACACAGGCGTTGGCGCGACGATAGCGAGACCACGCCAGGTCACTTCCATGCGAGACAACAACGTGCAAAGGTCCGAGATCGCGATAAGACAAAAAAAGCTATAAAAAGTGCGTGTAATCAGTCAACTTCCACATCAACTTCCACATCAACTTCCACATCAACTTCCACCACAAACAAGATGGAAATGCCTAAAAGATAGCGATAAAATATTAGTGCGAGCATTTTATCTTCGCTGCATTGGCCAAGCATATAAAATGAATTCTCTGAAAGAAGTGAAATATTTTATGGAATGTAATTAATTGTAGCACTAAGCAAAAATATTAGGTGTACAATGGACGATAAGCCATTGACGTTCAATGAACATCTGCAATATTTAAATGGTATTATAAAGGATAATAATATAATAAAAATAGATAATATATGTGATAATGATAATAATGAGAATTCAGAAACTCAATTATTTAGTAATGATAATTCTAGTCATGAGGAAAACTGCAATACTAGCTGGCTGGAATGGAGCAATTCTATTTGGGATTTTGCACAAAAAGTTGCGAAGAACTCAGAATACGGTAGCATAATAAATGCATTTTACAATCTCAATTTTGCAAAACAAATCAAAACTTTATTACCTTATTTGCCTATATGGACGGATATAATGCGTCCATGTTTTAATAAATCGGGAGAAATCGAAACTTCTTCATCAGTTGAAGCGGAATTTAGCGATCTCAAAAATAAGCTTTTAAAGGTCAGCTTCCAATGAGGATTGACAAATTTGTGATGCAGCATCTACATTTTCTAGATGTCAAAGTTACTCTTGCATCCATCGAAAAGGACATTTGTACAAAAAATGATAGATCGCTGCAATTGGACGAAATATCCATTGTTAACGAAACACATGTTTTTACACAAAAACCTGAAATAGATAGATTAGATGAATATGTGCAAAAATGTGATGACAAGATTTCGATAAAAGCTGATGAAATCGAGTATACTATAAATAACATATATACAGGGGTGGCCATATTCGACGGCAAGATGTTTTTTTTTTTCAATCATGGGAAACGTCGTTACTCGATCTAACATCTCTGTCAAAAGTTACAGTGTTTACCAGATCTTTCCGTCGAATATGGCCAACCCTATACATTCATCACTAAACAAAATTTGCATGAAACCAATAAGGATTTTGAGAGAAATTTACAAGAATCTGATAATACTATTGAGCACAATCTGCATGATTCTGATGACGCAGTTGAAAAAAATTGGAATACTTGCGAGAATTGGCACGGTTTGATCGGTTCAGAAAAAATTGTCAACAAATATGTTGAAGAACTTCCTAAACCTATTTCAAAAAAGCGAACTAAACCGTCATACTTGGACAAATGTCCAGAATGAGATATTTTAAAAAACATTGCGTCGCGAAATTTACCTCTTATTATAAACGGAAATAAATGCAAACCAGTAAGCAGACAAGGAATCATAATGACACTACACGAAACATGTGTTTTCGATTCATTACTACAACTCGTAGCAAGTGGAATCGCAAAAATGAAGCATATCGGGAGGCAACCAAATCATGCACCGACGGTATTTTTAAACTAGCTCGCTCCATTTTAGAAAACGGAAGATTGTTTTCTATACATTAATGAAAGAGCTTCTACATTAGAAAATTTGCCACTTTTTTGTGCATGCACGCATGCACGCACGCACACACGCAAAGTTGTGCAAAGTTACATTAAAATGAAGACATTAAATATTTAGTAAATAAACAAAATATTTGTTATAAAATAATTGGTGAATCTTAATGAAACTTTGCATAAGTCATTTTTAGTACTTGAAATATGCATATAAAAAAATTTAGATTTTTGTTATTTTCAAAATTTAGATTTTTGTTATTTTCAAAATTTCTGTTCATAACAATAAAACTAATAACAAATAATGTAAATAATATATAAAAATATGTTGCTCAATAAAGACAATGTTATCAACATATGTAATTTGTACTCACATATGTAATTTGTTTAAAGCGTAAATATTAATATATGTGTTTTATGTCCTTACAACCTTCTTAAGAGATACTTTACTCTTGTGGTGCGGTGCCAGTCCGTAAATTTAGTTATTATTAGAAAATACTTAAAGACAAGAACTCTGAGCGAAATCTATAAAAATCGTCGGAACTATTGTAGAACTAGGAAAATGCCAACGAGTTGGCTGAAACTGGCTGTTAAAGAGTACTTTACTCTCGTGATGCGGTGCCAGTGCGCGGGTATTATTGTTATTAAAAAGAACTTAAAGGGCAGAACTCTAAGTGAAATTTATAAAAATCGTAGGAACTATTGTAGAACTATAGTAAAATGCCAACGAGTCTGCTGGAACTGGCTGTTAAAGATTACTTTACTCTTGTGGTGCGGTGCCAGCGCGCGTGTTTAATTATTATTTAAAATAACTTAGAGACCGGAACTATTGTTAAAACCTATCAGGAACTGTAGAACTCTTCGAGAACTATAAAATTTCATAGTTTTCAATTGATTTTTTCGAATCTTGCGGTGCCACAGGAAGTTAGCATCGCAAATTTTCAAGTGTTATTTTTTTTAGCTAAATCAACGGAACTATTTATAAAACCTATCAGGAAGTATTGCGGTCAATGGAACTCTTATCAAAACTTGCGATGCCAAAAAATGAGGTGCCAACTTCACACACGTATAAAAGTAATGAACATGTATATTAAATTTAATACAAGTTCATACATCAAAAATAATACACATGTTATTGTAATTTAAGACATCAGTAAATGAATATTCATATACAGAATTCATTATTTTTTATTGACGGGCTTGAACCAAACTTCTTTTATATGTTAATTAAAAGTAATTAAGAAATTTCTAACAGTATAATTAATTGTGAAACAAGAAGGATAAAATAATACTCGCGAGCGTTGTAGACATTAAGTGGAAAGCATCCCGCGTCAATCGCTATCAGTTGGCTACTACATACGCGCATGCGTGTCGTTACGATACGTGATTCTACACAACGCAAACAATTATAATAATTAATATGAGATGTACAATAAATTTACTTATAATTATATTTATTATTTATTTATTATATTATTTCTTATTATTAATTTATTTATTTATTTAAAAAATTAATATATAATATATACAAGATGAAGGTGTTTTCGACGCCCCAATCCAATTTCATTGGCTATAACAAGACAAGATTAATATATTTCGAACTATTTAACAAATATACGACAGAAGCACAGATATCATTAGTTTTTTTGTTCGCGTCGCATGCTCCAACATGCTCCATCATGCTCTTGTCATAGTTCCTACTCACTTTTGTGTGTGTGTGTGTGTGTGTGTGTGTGTGTGTGAGCGCATGAAGTAGGAGCGATGATAGGAGCGTATTGGAGCATGTTGGAGCATGCGATGCGAACAAACCTATTATCTTTTCTTTACCGTCATGATGCGCTTATGTTATCAAAAATGAATGACAAATAAAAAAATTTTCCATAAATGAAAGTCATTTTGTTGACAACAAAATGAGCAATAATTGTTCTCCGTTTGCTTTGATTGAATCTACTGACACGAAATGTTTTGAATCTGCCCTCGTGTTGAATACGTATGATTATATATTATGTTTTTAACAAATATATAGCAACTAGTCGAAAATTTATGCTCAACATTAAATTATGATTTTGCAAAACATGCTTAGTTATCAAGAGTTTTTAATTGCCATTTTGTTTGGCCAACATTTGTTGTGTCACAGTCTTGACAGAAAATTTTCTATCTTATACATAACGTCACATTAACTCAAGAGAGTCTTGCCCATTTTAAAAATATTCGGTAACGAAAAGCATATGTTTATTTTCTTGTAATTGATAAAAACTTTCGAAGATGTTCTCAATAAATAGAAACGTAAATCATCTCTCTTTGATTATAGGTTTATTAACAGAATTTTTCAACCTCTTCTCTTTTTGCGAAAACGATATTTCGGTCTATATTGTGGAAAAAAGTATAAAGAATAAATGATAACAATAATATTCTTGAGACTTCCACGAGTGCTTTCTACATAACTGTTGTGTGTTTCGCGGGTTTTCTCCGTGTCTATCCATTCTTGGACTGCAAGGCTCACGAAACGTTGGCATTCCAAGAATGGATCTAGACACGGAAAAGACCCGCGAAACACATAACAGTTAAATGATAACAATTGTTAATGAGGAAATCGATAGCATATATGAAGTTGTTTCTATGGAAAGCAGGATTTGAAAGGAGAATTATTTTGTCTACTATGTCATAAGTCTCTTTTGTGTAGTAAAGGGTGCTGAAAATAAAAATTCAGAAAATGTAAGTTTTTTTTTATATAAATCAATGATAATTTGTCATTCATTATAATTGCAGTAATATCCAAAAAATTCAGACAATTGTTCTCTCCAACATCTATCGTGAATTGCATATGTTCATACAAAGAGTTAAATATCAAATATACAATTAAATGAATCGCATAGCGTCTAGTAGACACATGAAGTCTAGCTAGAAAGATGTCGTCAACATATCTCACATAGATCCGATTTTACAATATATGATTACCTAAAGATTAAAGGTAATTAAGAAATTCGTGAATGAATTTCATTGATGAATCTGTTGGTAACCTTTAATTTTTAGGTAACCATATATTGTGAAGGGCAAACGTATTGGTAGTTAATTCTAAATCTTATAACACAAGATCCGTCACGACGGGAGATAAAAGAAAAGGTATATTGTCTTTATAAACACATTTTTATAACCAAATGTATACGTTTTTAAACGAAAGCATTTCTATCGGGTCTTTCTGCTATCTCTCGTTGTGATGAATTTTGTGTTATAAGATTTAAAGTTAAGGGCATTAAAATTACTACCGATTCGTTTGCCGTTTTATGTGAGGTACGTTGATGACATCTTTCTAGCTGCACCATGTTTCACTTGAGACGTTTAACTCTCTGCACGATCGTATGGAGTTCAAGATGGAGGATGTTGAAAACACAATTGTGTGAATTTTTGGATGTCACTGTAATTATAACAAATTATCTTTTGATTTTTAAAAAAACTACATTTTCTGATGGATACTTGAATTTTTGTTTTTACCATCTTTTATTATACAAAACAGGTATGATCTATAGCATGGTAGACAAAATAATTTTCCTTTCCAGATCCTGCTTTCCATAAAAAGAACTTCATAGATACTATCAATTTCCTCATTGACGACTGTTATTTTTTATTCTTTATTTTTTCCACGATTCTTCATAGATTGAATTCTTTATCTTTCCATAAAAAAAGACGATTGAGAAATTTTATTAATGAATCTATAATAAAAAAAATGTTCTACTATTTATGGAAAACATCTTCGAGAATTTTTTTATCAATTACATGTAAAATAAAAACAGACTTTTGGATATTGAATACAAAAAGTTATATAAAAACGAGTAAAAATATGATCTCTTAAATTAATGACTTATAGTGACGTTGTATATAAGATATAAGATTTTCTGCCAAGACTGTGACATAACGTATATTGGCTAAAATAAAATGGTACTTAAAAACAAGAGAATATATTTTCGATATAAAAAAGAAAAGTGGATCTCCATCGTTTCGAAGTATAGAATAAATAATAATCATAATTTCGACTGGAAAAGAGTTTAGGGCTGTGTTCCAAAATTCACTGCCAGCGCTGAAAATCTATAGTTTACGTATATTATAAATTTTCAGTACTGTGAATTTTGGAACACAGTCTAGATTTTAGACAATAAAAGGTATTATAGCAAAAGATTAACTTTAGGGATGATCCACATAATTAAACAAAAAAAAACGGTTTAAATAAACAAAATAACACAGAATTTCTTTCAGAATATCTGTCCCTATCCTAGATTATCTCTCAATTGACCCCTACAGTACGAACCTCATAATCAGGCTTATACTTTTTTCCTGTATTAATTTGTAACAATTTCCAAACATTTCCCCGCCTTTGTCACGTATTTTTTATTTATTATAATATTCAATGTTTACTCCTGTTTCATTTTAATTATTCTGTCGATCCATTTAATTTCCATGTTTGGTCATATTATCTCAATAAGTTAACTTCCATCTGTTGTTATATTATTCAAGGTATGTTACAATTAATTAGTTTATAATAAGAATATGTTCACTAGTTGTGTGATAAAAATATTTTTAATTTGATGTATGAGTTTAATAATCTACTTACCTTTCATATAATTTAAGTGTCAATATGATATTCTGTTTATATCTATGACTACATGCTCTTTTCATATTGTATTTACATATGGTATTTTCTTGTTTGATATATTTTGAATACAAAATGGAGATCTACATTTTTAATTCTATAACAAGAACATGATTAATGTAAAGAAGTTTTTATGATATTACTTGATTGTAAGTTACTATCCACTGAGGATAGTCCTGTGAAGACTAAAATATTCGGAATTTTAAATATATTGTAATATATAAATCAGAATTTGTTATACTAATAGCATGTTTGGTTCAGCCTTTTGTTGATACTTATTTGAAATTTTTATTCTTTGAGCTTTTGCAAACTTTGTACAATTCTATTAACTAATTTGATAGATTTTTATTTGTTATTATTTAATAAAAATGTGTCCATGTTCATTAAGTTAATTGGAGTTAGTTTAAATGGCTTTTACAATACATTTATTGTATTTCATTTTCATAAAATATGGATTAGCTCACTGTTAGCTCAAGTCTACAACAGTCTATGATAGGTCTGTTTTTTATTCTTGCACTAAATTGCACTCTTTCTCATTTTCGCCACGTATTAAACATATACCTATCTCACTTTAAGTTACAAAAGCATACACTAGTTCTGTCATAAAAAAAAATCCAATAAGTTGGTAGTCAATAATTTTAGGGCCATGATACACAAGAAACTTAAGCAGTAAGACATAAGCAGTAAGTGAATTAACCAATTGCAGTAGAGTCCTTAAGGCCATAACGTAATTAGAAGCCAATCCAACATGTTAATTTCCTTACTGCTTACATCTTAATATCTTTAGTTTTTTGTGTGCCATGGTCTTTACAATTAGAAGTTGACAACAATTAGAAGTTGCTGGACAATTCTATCGATTTACTGATTTCGACCATTCCCGACTCACTAATTATCCTTCGGATTCATTTCCGACTCATCGATTATATAAATTACCGACTCTTACGCTGATTCTACAATGAGTCGGTAATCGGTCCTAAGTCTTATCGATGAAGTTGACCAATAGCCACCTTGTACAACTAAGGCTGATTGGCCAACTTCATCAATTAAGATTAAGACTTCTGACTACCGACTCATTGTAGAATTAGCATTATAGACCCGGCTTTGCAGTAAGTCTTTTAATTCGAGGTTAGTCTATGCTAAAATTTGTAGTCGTGCTATAAACTAACAGCCGTTTTGCCATTACCTTGCCTTTCTGGAAGAATTCTATAAATCCACTTAATGTGGTCATCGTGCATGTGAAGATTTATTGTTACAGTTATTCACGTTTGTACATTCACATATAAAAGATGTGAGAGAAGGAAATTGATTGACACGTTTAGCTTACGCACAGCTCCGAATGTTCATCTTTAAAAATCACTCTACGATGTTCACTGATATATGTAAACAAATCAGAGCAAAATATTTCGTCCGATCATACAAGCAAACTGAAGTACTAAACCACGAAAAAATGTTCGTTCAAATCGTGATCAGAAAGAAACTTGGGAGAAGCCATGCCAGTCTTTTTCCTGTTACCGTTGAAATCGCCAGTACACTACCGCCAATACATCCATTTAGAAACTACGTGGCTACATCCATTTTCTCACACTGTCGATAAAATCAGCAGAGAGACATAAAGAAAAGGGATGTACGAATCCATGCTACATCCATAAATTGGGAATTAAAAAAACTGAATGTGCATATACATAATATGTCAACGTAAGTTTTATAATTTTGTTATTATGTTGAAATATCACTCATATACCTAAATAGCATGTCTCAGCAAAATCGCACAAATCTCTGTCATTGCCCAGATAACAATTAGTGAGGGTTCACATTGCCCTCACGTGTGATTGTCGTATTGTGCGTACAAGAACGCTATGATATTGCCTTCACAACGTGAGAGTAGAAACACAAATGTCACTGTGCAATCATGCGTAATGGGACATATTATACGAACATAAAAAGTCGTATTGTATCATCATATATGATTATAAAAAACTGTAGATACCCAAATAACAATTTTCTCGTATAGTGATCGTATGGTGCACGCACGCGTGCGGATTATCCACATGGCGATGATGTCATTGGATCCGACAAATGCGTCCTCAATTGAGGGCGCATTTCACTCGCTCGCATGCGTGGCACGCATGTATGCAAGTGAAATGCGCCCTTATACGTACGAACGATATGAGCCTCAATTGAAGTATAAATGCGCGCATTATATAAATATATATTTTAATATTATAAATTTAATGGAAAAAAATCTACAAAATGTGCAATGTTTGTATAATATTTTAAAGGTTTGTTTTGTGTGTCTATATTTATATATGCAGTCGACGTGTCTGATTTACATGTGATATATATTGGGTCATCTAAAAAGTATCCGCGGTTTTTGTCACTAGATGTGTGTTGATGGTCATATATCTAGTGACAAAGTATCCGCAGTACTTTGTCACTAGATATATGACCATCAATACACATCTAGTGACAAAAAACCGCGGATACTTTTTAGATGACCCAATATATCACATATATTGTATATATTTCACATGAGAGTGAAATATGACTCAGCGTGCAAGCGATATGAAATTTAAATGAATGAATATTTTATTTTTATATAAATATGTTTATTTGAATATTATATCAAAATATAAAATATACACACACATGTATAATACATATTTTTGCATTTTTTACTAAAATTATTAATAATTATAATTATAAAACTATTTATAACTCATGTTCGTAAAGATATGTATTGTCATAAGATAATTTCTATAAATTTTCTTCAAGAATCTTAAAGAAAGATTCTCTACTGAAAAAAATCACGTCGCAAAGTTACATGATAAAATCATATAATTAAAACAAGTAAATCACATAACAGTAAATATCAATATGTGATTTTTTTAATCATGTAATTTGAAAAGTCATATGACGAGTCATATATGCTTTTTTCCTTCTATTTCTATCATTTATTTCTTTAAAATTTGATAAAATCATATGATAAATGAAATTTTTAATATCATGAAATTTTTCAAATTACGTAATTTAAAAAATCACTGATTTGGAACAATCCATTATTGTGATTTACTTGTTTTAATTACATCGTTATGTAACTTTGTAACGTAACCTTTTTCAGTAGAATTATTTATAATCTTCATCAGTGTGTACTTAGAACTATTATTGTCCTCGGATAATGATTGAACATGATTTTTGCTACACCTAATATAATAAATATAATAATATGTATTGATTTTATTTCAGTATTAATCACTTGCGAGGATTGGGCGGTTCGAAACTGCGGGAATTTTTATATACATACTGCTATTAAAGAGATAATGACGAATTGATTTACAACTTTATGTGGCAGGGTAATGCAAGCACAATAGCGTTAGGCAAAATAAAATTCATCAATGTTATATATTGTAAGCAATTTTATATGTAGAAAATAGAAACTATATCATTTCAATACAGTCCATTTTATCCATAACTGAAGGAAGATATGAAAAAAATGTTCACACAAAGGTTCTAATTCTGTATACTGCATGCCGAAATTTTTTGGGTTTTGAAGTGCCATTCAGATTTATAATTTCAATAAGACAGTAAACGAGGGGAGAGGGAGTAAGGACTAAGTTGACAGTCATCTTTTGTCCTTCTATAAAACTAAAAAACTTTTAAAAAATATATTTTATAAAATTTTTGTTTAAAAAATATTTTCATCTCTTCTTCATTTTTTGAAAAAATGAATTGTATTGATTAAAATAGAACATCCTTCCAGGAAAAAAGTTCCATATATAATAATTAATATAAGTGCTCGAAAAGTATCGATACAATTGTTAGTCCGCAACAATATACCTCTGACAAAAATGCATCTCAATCTGTTTTTCCTGTTGTTCGAGTATCGTTCGCAATGGCATCCGTGTTATCAGAACCTATATAATTTTATACAATTATACAATTTTATAGAATTATTTTATATAATTATGTATATAGAATTTTTATTCCCGGGTTGTATATGAAATCCTGAATTAATATTTCAAAACTATTTGTGTCATTTTTCAATAATCTTTTATAGTTGCAGCTAAAAAATGTCCGTTCTTTCGAGGATTCGTTGATAAAAATGAAATGAAGATACATGCTACAAGTTTTGAGAACAATTAAACAACACTATAAAAAAAATTGGAAAAAGCAGAAATTCTGAACTCCCAAGATAATGATCAATTGATCGATGAATCATCTCGCGAATGCGAGATACAGATTACTAAAGCCATCTATTGGAAAAATAATGGATTTCTTTTTACTATACCTAATATATCTTTCGGTATTGTAATATAAAAGTAATTTCTGATAAATACCCTATTCAATAAAAGGTAAAAAGAGTAAACATTCTTTTGGAAATCAGAGAAGATCATAGTTTTATTTGTATTTTATGATAAACAATATAAGTAAAAAATAATTATAATTAATATCTTAGAGAAGGCCATTGATCGATCAAAGTTAGATGTTCCAAACAATATTCTTTATTTATAAATTTTAAGATATAATCGCGAGCCAAAATGTTCGATCATCCGCATATATAAAATCAATTTGTCTCAGATGTGACTGTCCGAAACATTCGGACTTTTAAATACAATCAATCTGAGACGTTAATAATACTTCCTTAAATTAAATAAAAAATTTTTATTGCGAAAAATATTTATATATATATACTATATTTTTTATTATATATACCTTTAATTTGTATCTGATAGTACTTAAAATTGAAATTATTTCCTACAATGATAGGCTTTTGCAGCAATAAACACACCTATAAAATATAAAGGAATAATTATCAGTTTGGTGTTCTATACATATTGGAAGAACACAATTTCAATTGCAAATTTTAAGAATAGATAAATTTAATAAAAATATATAGTACCATATTGTGAAGAATTTATGAGAGAGAGAGAGAGAGAGAGAGAGAGAGAATATATTAGGTCATCTAAAAAGTATCCGCGGTTTTTTGTCACTAGATGTGTGTTGATGGTCATATATCTAGTGACAAAGTACCGCGGATACTTTTTAGATGACCCAATATGTTGTAATGTTAATATGTTCAAAATGATATAATTCCTTCTGTGACTTGGACATAGAAAAATTAATAAGTACAAAGCTTTGGACGTAAATTTAATCAAAATTAAAAAACGAATAGGAAATCGCGCGTAGCCTTTAAAAATAAAAAAGTAATAATTTTATATAGCTGCAGATAAGGTCATGTTTTCATATAAAAATATGTTTACTTACCAATATGCAGAAATATGAAGCGGAAGAATACTTAATTTTATTCTATATTATTAACAGATATTATTAACATCTGTATATAATAATAACAGGCATGGATTTTCTCGATTTTCGATGACTTTTGATTCTTTCGCAACGGTTCCAACACTTTCAACGTGACAAAGTCAAACGCAAAAATGCACGATGGCAATGCGCGACGCAAACTGTTTTAATATGGCGTATGATAAGATGACGAAAGCGCGCGACTTAATTACATTGTGAGCACAACATGAATGCGTTTTTGTACGCTCATATGATGATCATGCATGAAGGTAACATGAATTTTATTAGGTGTTGGAATTAATTCGTAGCGTTTTACAAGTGATGGGAAGTACTTTCATTAATGTATTTTTTAATGCTCATGTGAAATAAATAACATTCTTTCATTAAAAACGCTACGAATTAATTCCAACACCTAATATATAAATTATATTACTTCTCATATGACTATACAGGGTTGGCCATATTCGACGGAAAGATCTGGCAACACTGTAACTTTTGACAGAGATGTTAGATCGAGTAACGACGTTTCCCATGATTGAAAAAAAAACATCTTTCCGTCGAATATGGCCAACCCTATATAATGCTACCTTTTATACGTGCATTCGTGTTTCTATCACTTAGTGAAAGTAACATGAATACGTTATTGCATGTACTCGTGATAATTATGCTATGAAAGTAACGTGAGTCCTCACCAATTGTTATCTGGAGAAACTTTTTATTTTCACTTATCTATCTGAGATTGCGCTATGAGCCTCTAGCAGTTAAAGGAATGATCGACCAGCGACGCTATAAAAGTACGAAATGACATATGATTGCGTTCGTTTGTGTTTAATAGAGACATATAGATAATTGAGTATTTTCTTGCGATTTTTCCTTATAGGTACGTAGCTTAATTGTTATCTGTAATTATCCTTAATTAAAGTATGAATGATTTTTTATAAGAATTGTCTTCAAACGTGTATTCGAGGTTAAAATTTTTCACTTGATGCTTTAGCTTATTCTAACCTTTCCAAATTCGCGCCAGGTAAGTCCTTTGGGCAAAGGTGAGGACAAAACGGATGATTCTCTCGGTATATGACTCAGTATAGTAAAAATACTGGGAATATGGAGACACAGACGACCTTTCGAGTATACGAAAAGCACGTGTTGTTTACATCTCATTTTTGTTTATTTTTTGCACAATGCAGTATGATGATTTGTTTATGATTACTGATCTAGTACAATCATTACACCAAATAGGCCCATGAAGGTTGTACTACATATAAAGGATTTAGTAGCTACTTTTGTGACGATTGCTAAGACTGATTCTATTTAATTATAATTTTTATATTATAATTTTTATATTATAATTTTTTAAATTTCATTTGCATTGCTCGAGTGATCCATTCGCTTTGCCCAAGAGGATCGGGCAAAGCGGATGGTTTCTCTTTTTTTATGTTTTAACTAAAATGATATAATATATTAATGTGCAAATTCTGAATTTTTTTAAATTTTATTTCAAAGTTAAGTTCTTTAAGAGATTTATGAGAATAAAAATGGTTTCTGATCTTAATTTTAATTGTGTCATTTTTTTCTTCTCAATCTTAATACGTCCGCGCTGCCCAGGCTTTCCATACGTATTTTATTTGAGAAAATGAATCCGTCAAGTATGTAAATAAATGTTTTTGAATTGTAATTAGTTTATTTATAACCAAAAGAATATATGCGAATGTTTAATTTATGTATTTTTTAAGTTTAATACGGATTTATTTGTTGTAGAAGTTTAATGCATAAAAGTGCAAAAAGGTTACAGGTTTTTGTTGTATTAATATCACTGAATGGTGAATTTGCGCCTTCAATCTACCTAGCAAACACAAATATTTAACTATTATATTACTTCCATATAATGGAATATAACAGATAATATAACGTGTGCATAACATTCTACGTCCACGTTAGTTGTAATCCCACTCACGAATCATTGTTATATAATATAAATGTAACATGTAACTTGAGATGTTATATAGTAGTCGTATAACAGTAATATAATTTGCTCCGTTATTATTATAAAATTAGAATATGACTATATAAAAATTATGCGTTTCGCGGGTTTCCTCCGTGTCCAGATCCATTCTTGGAATGCCAACGTTTCGTGAACCTTGTCCATTTCATCAGGATGAGGAACATTCCTTTTATATTACGCTACTTGGAGTGGTGGGAGGAAAGAAGAAAATTGGATGGGTGGAGAGGTGAAGGAAATTGGTCGGTCTTCAATAACCTTTTTCAAAAAATATAATATTATCAGAACACAAGATCGAAACAGGACATCAAATACTGTTGACAAAACGAGCATAGTCAACATTACATCATATTTATCAAGACAGTAGAGAAGCCATAGAGATACACCCTAACAATCTAAATAGAAATAATGGCTACAACATAAATAAAATATGGAAAACCATTCTCCCGATTATTGAAGATCGACTAATATCCCTCACCTTTCCCCACATCCATAATTCTCTTCTTTCCCTCCACCACTCCAACAAGTAATATAAAAGGAACGGCCCGGAGGAACAGCTCAGTATCAGGCTTCTCGCTCTGATGAAGTGGACTGCAAGGTTAACAAAACGTTAGCATTCCAAGAATGGATCTGGACACAAGAGGAAACTCGTGAAACGCATAATCTTTATACAGAAAGCACCCGCGGAAGCCTCAAGAATACTAGGACTTATGTTGCTATACATTATCCTAGCTTAATTTAATGCTTTTTGCATATATTATTCCCAGAAAAGATCTTGGAATTAATTTTAAAATGAAAACAAATGGAACAGTTTGCTTTCGTTTAAAATTAATTCAAACCTTCTCTGGGATTAATATATGCAAAATACATTTCCTGAAAATTGTTTTTGCATGGATATAAAAGACATACAATTGATTTTAATTCATTTACTTATAGACTTTATAATTTGCACATAAATACATGTATATTAATATCATAACTGTATATTTAATCGTAATATTCATATATTATACTTTTATAATATATAATTGTTGAGTTTAGCCTCTTCATATCCGATGTTGATAAAATTAGGTTCATTCGACGCATTTTTGCATGAAATGAATGAATCTAGTAAAAAGAAAAACGTGTCGCTCTTTTTCGCCACAACCGAGGTACTAATTGTTGAAGTTGATAGATATTCAGGTGGGGAAATCTGACACATCGATAGTATTGAAAGCAACACAAATTCTCTGCTTTAAAATACAAATTATTTTTTATATAATTTTTGTTTTTACAATAGAGAATTTGTTTTTAAAACAGACAAATACTAAAACAATTATATAATAAATAAGAAATAGAGTAAAAAACGAGCAATTAAGAACCTTAATACGCGGTAATTGATGCGATTATCATATACGCATATGTTTCAATTGTATCTATTATATAACTATACAAAACTGAATGTTTCGGCTATATTCAAGCCATTCTCAACAGTCTCTAATCATAGCAATACTTAATGACAATCCAATATTAATAATGTCAAAGAAATCGAGTGCAACAAGGAAGTCTCACAGATGTCTTATGTTACATACCAATAAAATCCCCTTATTCTTTATAGAATAATATATTCGTCATAGGTATACAATTTATACTTTACTTTATCTTATCGCTAGATTTCCCTATTTTCCTTATTTCGAAACTGGAAATTCCGTTTCTCTTTTATAGTCAGTTTCTTTATTTGAACATTCAAACTCTAACAGATAGATCACGTTATGTACTTTTAGGCGTCATAAAAATTATCTATAGAATATTCTAGAAAGAATGTCTAAGAATATCACACGATCTTTCTCAAAGAAGCCCTCCTATAAAATAACAAATATAAAAGCGTATTATACATTAATATTATATAATATTAACGTATATTATATTAGCGTTTAACGATTAAGTAATTAGCAGTAAAATAGAAACCTTCCTGAATGCGAGAACGAATATCTTTTTCTTTTTTTTCCCTTTTTCTTTTTCTAATAAATAAAGTTAAATTAATCTTAAACATATGAATGTAGTACACAAACTCGTATACGTACATTTTTATTCACAAACTCGTATACGTACATTTTTATTC